GAAATGGAGAAGGGACGATACCATCTGCATGGTACCTTGAAGAAAGCTAGGAGAGAGAGTGAGAGAGTGAGAGAGAGAGAGAGTGAGTGAGAGAGAGTGAGAGAGAGAGAGAGTGAGAGAGAGTGAGTGAGAGAGAGAGAGAGAGAGAGAGAGAGAGAGAGAGAGAGAGAGAGAGAGAGAGAGAGAGAGAGAGCGAGTCAGAGACAGAGAGGGGGGAGATAGAGAGATAAAGAGAGAATGAGAGAGAGAGAGAGACTGAGAGACTGAGAATGAGAGAGAGACAAAAAAAAAGTGTGTGTGAGAGAGATATGGGTAGTAAGAGGACAGTCAGTGACCGAGAACGCTTAGAGAGAAGGGAAAGGGGAAGGATTTAGGGAGGCCCTCAAACCATTTTGGCCGCACTATTCACGTCCGCTTTTGCATGCTACCCTAGTTGGCCCTGCTTGATGCCCCCCCCATTGTCCCCAGTACACCAGTTGGGGGAAGGGGGGTGGTGGCCCCCAGCAACCCACCACCCCTACACCCCCCCAGTAACACCTGTTGAGCTCAGTGTGTACTACACGTGTCTACTCTGAGTGTACAGTACAGTACAGTACTACTACTACAAGCATGTCTCAAGCTCAAAATTCATTTCTGTATTGATTCTGAATTTTTTTTAAGTGTTTACAGGAATTATACCAGAACAACTAGAGCCCCAACGACCCCAGGAGAGCAGGAACAAGTTCGTTGAACACTGTTTTATATTTTATATGTAACTAACTATATGCATTTTAACATATTGGGATTTTGTATTCTATGCTTCGTGTATATATATATATATATATATATATATATATATATATATATATATATATATATATATATATATATATATATATATATATATATATATACATACTAGCTTATTCAACGGGTTTTCTAGGACTTGGTGCTAGTTTAAGTCATGTAAGAAGAATTGATTTCCTATTACGTGTATTAAGGTATCTTACAGGTCATCTGACAATGGTACTTTACCCACAGAGGTCTTCTGGGATTTTTTAATAGGCTTCGTTCCGCCTCTTCTAGGATAATATTGTATACTTGGCTGATCATCCTGAGACTTTTTCTAGGTTACTAGGTCATCTTAGACCTTACGGGTTTTCTAGCACTGATCTGCTAGTACTGAACCAGGGGCCAGATTCACGAAAGCACTTACGAACCTGTACATCTTTTTTCAATCTTTGACGGCTTTGGTTACATTTATTAAACAGTTTACAAGCATGAAAACTTGCCAATCAACTGTTGTTATTGTTATAAACAGCCTCCTGGTGCTTCGGAGCTCATTAACTGTTTAATAATTGTAAACAAAGCCGCCAAAGATTGAGAAAAGATGTACAGGGGCCAGATTCACGAAAGCACTTACGAACCTGTACATCTTTTTTCAATCTTTGACGGCTTTGGTTACATTTATTAAACAGTTTACAAGCATGAAAACTTGTCAGTCAACTGTTGTTATTGTTATAAACAGCCTCCTGGTGCTTCGGAGCTCATTAACTGTTTAATAATTGTAAACAAAGCCGCCAAAGATTGAGAAAAGATGTACAGGTTCGTAAGTATTTGCGTAAATGCTTTCGTGAATCTGGTCCCTGGTTACCTTGTGGGGTTCGTGTTCGACATGGTACAAGGCAATTTTGTGGGCGTTTTAAACCTTACTGATGTCATTAAAGTTGATTTACCGACATTTACGGTAACATTATCGTTAATTTCAGTTGTGTTATGATCGAAGGCTCAAGAGAAATAGTCTTCGTGCACATGATTTTATTCTCAGCCAATAACAACAAAACAATTATCAGGTACATGAAATATTATCAACAAGATCATAAACAAAAGAGCATCGGTTCCAAGCATGCTACCTCCAACATCTGTAGTACTCAATCCCAACAAGATGCATTCGAAGAGGGAGGTTTATACATTTATACAAAACTCCCGCGTTTAAGCGGTAATATCACATTCATTTGTTTCTGAATGCGAATTACATTCATTTTTGGTGTCATAGGCTAGGCTTTTTATTTTTGTGTTCGCAAGAAGGTTTAGTAATTTAATTTTTTTTTTTTTTTTTTACATAACAAGAGTTCAATAAGCACGGCTAAGTGTTCCTTTACCTTAGTGAACTTTGAGAGATTTACGATACTGTTCCTGATTTATAGGAATTTAGACAGCGACGTATATACTTTTGACGCCATGGGTGGGGGGGGGGGGGGACGCCGCGGGCCGCTCCAAACAACAGCCTGGTGGACCAAACTCTCACAAGTCAAGCCTGGCCTCGGGCCGGGCTTGGGGAGTAGAAGAACTCCCAGAACCCCATCAACCAGGTATATGTGGGCCTGCGGGCCGCTCCAAGCAACAGCCTGGTGGACCAAACTCTCACAAGTCAAGCCTGGCCTCGGGCCGGGCTTGGGGAGTAGAAGAACTCCAAGAACCCCATCAACCAGGTATATGTGGGCCTGCGGGCCGCTCCAAGCAACAGCCTGGTGGACCAAACTCTCACAAGTCGAGCCTGGCCTCGGGCCGGGCTTGGGGAGTAGAAGAACTCCCAGAACCCCATCAACCAGGTATATGTGGGCCTGCGGGCCGCTCCAAGCAACAGCCTGGTGGACCAAACTCTCACAAGTCGAGCCTGGCCTCGGGCCGGGCTTGGGGAGTAGAAGAACTCCCAGAACCCCATCAACCAGGTATATGTGGGCCTGCGGGCCGCTCCAAGCAACAGCCTGGTGGACCAAACTCTCACAAGTCAAGCCTGGCCTCGGGCCGGGCTTGGGGAGTAGAAGAACACCCAGAACCCCATCAAGCAGGTATATGTGGGCCTGCGGGCCGCTCCAAGCAACAGCCTGGTGGACCAAACTCTCACAAGCCAAGCCTGGCCTCGGGCCGGGCTTGGGCAGTAGAAGACCTCCCAGAACCCCATCAACCAGGTATATGTGGGCCTGCGGGCCGCTCCAAGCAACAGCCTGGTGGACCAAACTCTCACAAGCCAAGCCTGGCCTCGGGCCGGGCTTGGGGAGTAAAAGAACTCCCAGAACCCCGTCAACCAGGTATATGTGGGCCTGCGGGCCGCTCCAAGCAACAGCCTGGTGGACCAAACTCTCACAAGTCAAGCCTGGCCTCGGGCCGGGCTTGGGCAGTAGAAGAACTCCCAGAACCCCATCAACCAGGTATATGTGGGCCTGCGGGCCGCTCCAAGCAACAGCCTGGTGGACCAAACTCTCACAAGTCAAGCCTGGCCTCGGGCCGGGCTTGGGCAGTAGAAGAACTCCCAGAACCCCATCAAGCAGGTATATGTGGGCCTGCAGGCCGCTCCAAGCAACAGCCTGGTGGACCATACTCTCACAAGTCAAGCCTGGCCTCGGGCCGGGCTTGGGGAGTAGAAGAACTCCCAGAACCCCATCAACCAGGTGACGCCCGGGATGGAGAGTTATGGCGCCGAGGTGGCTACCTTTAGCAGCTTGCTAAATGACCATAACAAAACACCTTGTGCTCTCTTCACTTATATAATATATATATGGACGGATAATATTTCGAACGCTGGACAATGTCAGCCAAAAACAGCTGAAGGACTCCATGCGCGCCATCACGTGCGCAGAGTGAGGCGCAATACCGTCCCTCTCTCACACACACACACACACACACACACACACACACACACACACACACACACACACACACACACACACACACACACACACGGGGGCCTGGAAGCCTGGTGGACAGCGCGCAGGACTCGTAATTCTGTGGCGCGGGTTCGATTCCTCCGCACCAGACAGAAACAAATGGGCAAAGTTTCTCTCACCCTGAATGCCCCTGTTACCTAGCAGTAAATAGGTACCTGGGAGTTAGTCAGCTGTCACGGGCTGCTTCCTGGGGGTGTGTGTGGTGTGAAAAAAAAGTAGTTAGTAATGGTGAATCGTTAATGGTGAATTATTTCTTTCATATGTGAATTATTTCTTTCATATGTGAATTATTTCTTTCACATGTAGAGTTATTTGTTCCAATATTTCTATCTGTCCTCAGGGAGATCTGCTCAAGGGAATAGATTGGAAACGATTACATAATTAGTGCTATTATCTACTCTATCCTTAATTAGGTTAGTTTAACGTTACTTTAGGTTAAGGTTTGGTTAAGTTAGGTTTCATTACGTTTGGTTACGTTAATACAGTATTATTAACGATAATATGAAAAATTAAAGTCGAAAACTATTTCAATGTACCCGAGAATTCCGTTTACAAAAAAACAAAATTATTCAACGAAACCGTTTTCAGCATACACTTTGTATACCTTATATCAACGATGTGTAATACAGTGACGTTATAACTTGAGAATAATCTCTGTTTACGACAAAGGTTTACTTGCCAGTTTACATGTAGACTTTTACAGGAACCGTAAGACCTGAGAATAGATCATACTGTGATAGATATTTGTGATGATTTCAGTCCGTCTCAAATAGATAGATAACTATCCACATAATGGTTTCTCATGATTTGCTGTGAGGTTCGCAGGTTCGAATCCTCGTCACGGCCCTTGTGGATTTGTTCACTGAATGGCGTTTGCCGCTCTGTCAGTGCTCCTTAGCGACCTTGGTAGTTCCACAGTCCGTGTCTAACAGGCCATTGGAATTATTTCCTTAAATATTTGATTGCTTGATTGCCTAATGTAAAAACGCAAGCAAGAAAAAAAATATTTAATGTTTATACAAAAAATGGAACGTTTTTTGAAGAGGCAAATGTCACATTGTGACATTTTTCTGCACGTGTTAATTTTCGTGATTCACACACACACACACACACACACACACACACACACACACACACATACACATACACATACACACACACACACACACACACACACACACACACACACACACATAAATATATATATAAAACGTAATTTTAATTTTGATAGATAGTTCATCTTGAAGCGGAGGGGGGGGGGGGGGGGCGAGCGTGGCCAAACCGGTTTGACTAATGGGTTAGTGCACAATACAAACGGAATATTTAAGTAACGTCAATCCCTGTCTCAGTGGACGTTATTGATGGTATACCGGTGATGAGGGCTGGTAGCCCCTCAGTGACGGCTACCAGCCCTCAGTGACGGCTACCAGCCCTCAGTGACGGCCACCAGCCCTCAGTGACGGCTACCAGCCCTCAGCCCCGGCTACCAGCCCTCAGTCCTGGCTACCAGCCCTCAGTCCTGGCTACCAGCCCTCAGTCCTGGCTACCAGCCCTCAGTCCTGGCTACCAGCCCTCAGTGACGGCTACCAGCCCTCAGTCCTGGCTACCAGCCCTCAGTCCTGGCTACCAGCCCTCAGTCCTGGCTACCAGCCCTCAGTCCTGGCTACCAGCCCTCAGTCCCGGCTACCAGCCCTCAGTGACGGCTACCAGCCCTCAGTCCTGGCTACCAGCCCTCAGTCCTGGCTACCAGCCCTCAGTCCTGGCTACCAGCCCTCAGTCCTGGCTACCAGCCCTCAGTCCTGGCTACCAGCCCTCAGTCCTGGCTACCAGCCCTCAGTGACGGCTACCAGCCCTCAGTCCTGGCTACCAGCCCTCAGTCCTGGCTACCAGCCCTCAGTCCTGGCTACCAGCCCTTAGTCCTGGCTACCAGCCCTCAGTCCTGGCTACCAGCCCTCAGTGACGGCTACCAGCCCTCAGTCCTGGCTACCAGCCCTCAGTCCTGGCTACCAGCCCTCAGTCCTGGCTACCAGCCCTCAGTCCTGGCTACCAGCCCTCAGTCCTGGCTACCAGCCCTCAGTCCTGGCTACCAGCCCTCAGTCCTGGCTACCAGCCCTCAGTGACGGCTACCAGCCCTCAGTCCTGGCTACCAGCCCTCAGTCCTGGCTACCAGCCCTCAGTGACGGCTACCAGCCCTCAGTCCTGGCTACCAGCCCTCAGTCCTGGCTACCAGCCCTCAGTCCTGGCTACCAGCCCTCAGTCCTGGCTACCAGCCCTCAGTCCTGGCTACCAGCCCTCAGTCCTGGCTACCAGCCCTCAGTCCTGGCTACCAGCCCTCAGTCCTGGCTACCAGCCCTCAGTCCTGGCTACCAGCCCTCAGTCCTGGCTACCAGCCCTCAGTCCTGGCTACCAGCCCTCAGTACCCCTCAGTCCTGGCTACCAGCCCTCAGTCCTGGCTACCAGCCCTCAGTCCTGGCTACTAGCCCTCAGTGACGGCTACCAGCCCTCAGTCCTGGCTACCAGCCCTCAGTGACGGCTACCAGCCCTCAGTGACGGCTACCAGCCCTCAGTCCCGGCTACCAGCCCTACTGCAACAGGTAGCAAAGGTACCGCAACAGGTAGCAAAGACACTGCAACAGGTAGCAAAGGTAATGCAACAGGTAGCAAAGGTAATGCAACAGGTAGCAAAGGTGCTGCAACAGGTAGCAAAGACACTGCAACAGGTAGCAAAGGTACTGCAACAGGTAGCAAAGGTAATGCAACAGGTAGCAAAGGTGCTGCAACAGGTAGCAAAGACACTGCAACAGGTAGCAAAGGTAATGCAACAGGTAGCAAAGGTGCTGCAACAGGTAGCAAAGACACTGCAACAGGTAGCAAAGGTACTGCAACAGGTAGCAAAGGTAATGCAACAGGTAGCAAAGGTGCTGCAACAGGTAGCAAAGGTGCTGCAACAGGTAGCAAAGACACTGCAACAGGTAGCAAAGGTACTGCAACAGGTAGCAAAGGTAATGCAACAGGTAGCAAAGGTGCTGCAACAGGTAGCAAAGGTAATGCAACAGGTAGCAAAGGTGCTGCAACAGGTAGCAAAGACACTGCAACAGGTAGCAAAGGTACCGCAACAGGTAGCAAAGGTGCTGCAACAGGTAGCAAAGACACTGCAACAGGTAGCAAAGGTACTGCAACAGGTAGCAAAGGTAATGCAACCGGTAGCAAAGGTAATGCAACAGGTAGCAAAGATGCTGCAACAGGTAGCAAAGGTACTGCAACAGGTAGCAAAGGTACTGCAACAGGTACCAAAGGTACTGCAACAGGTACCAAAGGTACTGCAACAGGTAGCAAAAGTACTGCAACAGGTACCAAAGGTACTGCAACAGGTACCAAAGGTACTGCAACAGGTACCAAAGGTACTGCAACAGGTAGCAAAAGTACTGCAACAGGTACGAAAGGTACTGCAACAGGTACCAAAGGTACTGCAACAGGTAGCAAAGACACTGCAACAGGTAGCAAAGATGCAACAGGCAGCAAATGTGCTGCAACAGGTAGCAAATGTGCTGCAACAGGTAGCAAAGACACTGCAACAGGTAGCAAAGACACTGCAACAGGTAGCAAAGACACTGCAACAGGTAGCAAAGGTGCTACAACAGGTAGGCAGTATGGTGCCATGTGTAGCAATACGGAACCAAACGTAAGCGAGAGCTGTTACCACACCTAGACTTCTCGTAGCGACGGCTTCACCCCATCTTAAGATGTCACACCCCGACCCGTGACACCCCGACCCGTGACACCCCGACCCGTGACACCCCGACCCGTGACACCCCGACCCGTGACACCCCGACCCGTGACACCCCGACCCGTGACACCCCGACCCGTGACACACCCCGACCCGTGACACCCCGACCCGTGACACCCCGACCCGTGACACCCCGACCCGTGACACCCCGACCCGTGACACCCCGACCCGTGACACCCCGACCCGTGACACACCCCGACCCGTGACACCCCGACCCGTGACACCCCGACCCGTGACACCCCGACCCGTGACACCCCGACCCGTGACACCCCGACCCGTGACACCCCGACCCGTGACACACCCCGACCCGTGACACCCGACGCGGAAAGAGAACAAATCTCCAGACTAAATCATCAAAACATTCGGAAAAATCACTTAATTTTTTCCTTCTGCTAATTGACAATGTTAGGCTCTTGTGTTTCACCCGAAGTTATTCATTATTATTCACGCGCGTGCGACAGTTGCGTGTCAGCTGCACGCGCGTGCGACAGTTGCGTGTCAGCTGCACGCGCGAGCTGCGACCAGGAAAAATGTATAACATTCCTAAACAGTGTGAAGGGGGAAGAGAGTTAAAAATGTTGAATTCAATTATCCCAACGGAAGGACCAGTGGACCTACTAGCCTATCTGTCTGTCTCGGTGATTTATGAAGCACTTCACTATCCACCCACAGTATTACTCTTTCTCTATCCCCCCTTACACCCCCTCTATCCCTCCTCTATCCCCTTTCCCCCCCTTCTCCTCTCTCCTTCATAACACCCCCCCCCCCTCCCCCAAGCCCACGCCACAGTCGACGGACAATTCGTACATCAGAATAGTTTAATTAAAACAGTTACAGCAAGGCTGATAGTCGTGTAGGGAGTCAGGTGTGGGCAGGTCAGGTGTGTGTGCAGGTCACAGGTCACATGTGGAAACAGCTCGGGTATATGAGACCCAGGTCACGTGTGTTTTGAACAGGTTAGCTGTGTGATACTCACAGGTCAGGTATGTGAGTGAGAGTGATACACACGAGTCAGGTGTGTGAGAGACAGGTGTGTGAGTGAGTGTGGTACACACGAGCCAGGTATATGAGACACAGGTCAGGTGTGTGTGTGGAGCAGCAGCACCACACATATGAACCACGACAACAACATTAATTATGGGTCTCAGGTGTGTGTGAGGTATAGAGAGCGTCCACCTCCCCCGTGAGGGGATAGAGAGCGTCCACCACTCCCGTGAGGGGATAGAGAGCGTCCACCACCCCCGTGAGGGGATAGAGAGCGTCCACCTCCCCCGTGAGGGGATAGAGAGCGTCCACCTCCCCCGTGAGGGGATAGAGAGCGTCCACCTCCCCCGTGAGGGGATAGAGAGCGTCCACCTCCCCCGTGAGGGGATAGAGCGTCCACCTCCCCCGTGAGGGGATAGAGAGCGTCCACCACCCCCGTGAGGGGATAGAGAGCGTCCACCACCCCCGTGAGGGGATAGAGAGCGTCCACCTCCCCCGTGAGGGGATAGAGAGCGTCCACCACCCCCGTGAGGGGATAGAGAGCGTCCACCACCCCCGTGAGGGGATAGAGAGCGTCCACCTCCCCCGTGAGGGGATAGAGAGCGTCCACCACCCTCGTGAGAGGATAGAGAGCGTCCACCTCCCCCGTGAAGGGATAGAGAGCGTCCACCACCCTCGTGAGGGGATAGAGAGCGTCCACCACCCCAGTGAGGGGATAGAGAGCGTCCACCACCCCCGTGAGGGGATAGAGAGCGTCCACCTCCCCCGTGAGGGGATAGAGAGCGTCCACCACCCTCGTGAGGGGATAGAGAGCGTCCACCTCCCCCGTGAGGGGATAGAGAGCGTCCACCTCCCCCGTGAGAGGATAGAGCGTCCACCTCCCCCGTGAGGGGATAGAGAGCGTCCACCTCCCCCGTGTGAGGATAGAGAGCGTCCACAACCCCCGTGAGGGGATAGAGAGCGTCCACCACCCCCGTGAGGGGATAGAGAGCGTCCACCACCCCCGTGAGGGGATAGAGAGCGTCCACCACCCCCGTGAGGGGATAGAGAGCGTCCACCACCCCCGTGAGGGGATAGAGAGCGTCCACCACCCCCGTGAGGGGATAGAGAGCGTCCACCTCCCCCGTGAGGGGATAGAGAGCGTCCACCTCCCCCGTGAGGGGATAGAGAGCGTCCACCACCCCCGTGAGGGGATAGAGAGCGTCCACCACCCCCGTGAGGGGATAGAGAGCGTCCACCACCCCCGTGAGGGGATAGAGAGCGTCCACCTCCCCCGTGAGGGGATAGAGAGCGTCCACCACCCCCGTGAGGGGATAGAGAGCGTCCACCACCCCCGTGAGGGGATAGAGAGCGTCCACCACCCCCGTGAGGGGATAGAGAGCGTCCACCTCCCCCGTGAGGGGATAGAGAGCGTCCACCACCCCCGTGAGGGGATAGAGAGCGTCCACCATCCCCGTGAGAGGATAGAGAGCGTCCACCATCCCGGTGAGGGGATAGAGAGCGTCCACCTCCCCCGTGAGGGGAAAGAGAGCGTCCACCACCCCCGTGAGGGGATAGAGAGCGTCCACCATCCCCGTGAGGGGATAGAGAGCGTCCACCACCCCCGTGAGGGGATAGAGAGCGTCCACCTCCCCCGTGAGGGGATAGAGAGCGTCTACCACCCCCGTGAGGGGATAGAGAACGTCCACCTCCCCCGTGAGGGGATAGAGAGCGTCCACCTCCCCCGTGAGGGGATAGAGAGCGTCCACCTCCCCCGTGAAGGGATAGAGAGCGTCCACCACCCCCCGTGAGAGGATAGAGAGCGTCCACCATCCCCGTGAGGGGATAGAGAGCGTCCACCATCCCCGTGAGGGGATAGAGAGCGTCCACCATCCCCGTGAGGGGATAGAGAGCGTCCACCATCCCCGTGAGGGGATAGAGAGCGTCCACCATCCCCGTGAGGGGATAGAGAGCGTTTCTCTTTCTCTCTCTCTCTCTCTCTCTCTCTCTCTCTCTCTCTCTCTCTCTCTCTCTCTCTCTCTCTCTCTCTCTCTCTCTCTCTCTCTCTCTCACTTCCTACCTCCCTTACCCTTATTCTCCTTCCTCACTCTTTTCCTAAGTCCTATTTCCTACCTAAATTCCCTCCCTCTCCCTCTCACCCTTCCTTTTCCCTCTCACCCTCCCTCCTTCTCCCTCTCACCCTCCCTCCTTCTCCCTCTCACCCTCCCTCCTTCTCCCTCTCACCCTCTCTCTCCCTCTCCCTCTCTCTCGTGTTGGAAATGTTACAGAACTTCCCTGTTGACAACCCTCGTTTGATTGAGTGTTGGACAAAGCCTAATTGATGGCCTGTGTGTTTATGTTGCATGTTTTGTCCAGGTATTTGCAACTGTGTAAAGACGCGAATGGAATATATTGATTGATATATTCCCCCCTCCCTCCCTACTGGGGGGTACCCGGCAGTGCCCGGGGAGACCTACACCCAGGCCTCTCCCACACACACACTCCCACACACACACACACACTCCCACACACACCCTCCCACACACTCTGACACGCGCCGTCTCTATCCACATATGCCTCATCCCTGTAACCATTCTCACTATACACTATCTACATCACTACATTACCTGAGGCCACCTGCTACAGGTAACGGACGGTAGCCACCTGCCACAGGTAACGGTAGCCACCTGCCACAGGTAACGGTAGCCACCTGCCACAGGTAACGGTAGCCACCTGCCACAGGTAACGGTAGCCACCTGCCGCAGGTAACGGTAGCCACCTGCCTCAGGTAACGGTAGCCACCTGCCGCAGGTAACGGTAGTCACCTGCCATAGGTAACGGTAGCTACCTGCCGCAGGTAACGGTAGCCACCTGCCGCAGGTAACGGTAGCCACCTGCCGCAGGTAACGGTAGCCACCTGCCACAGGTAACGGTAGCCACCTGCCACAGGTAACGGTAGCCACCTGCCACAGGTAACGGTAGCCACCTGCCACAGGTAACGGTAGCCACCTGCCACAGGTAACGGTAGCCACCTGCCTCAGGTAACGGTAGCCACCTGCCACAGGTAACGGTAGCCACCTGCCGCAGGTAACGGTAGCCACCTGCCACAGGTAACGGTAGCCACCTGCCACAGGTAACGGTAGCCACCTGCCACAGGTAACGGTAGCCACCTGCCACAGGTAACGGTAGCCACCTGCCTCAGGTAACGGTAGCCACCTGCCACAGGTAACGGTAGCCACCTGCCGCAGGTAACGGTAGCCACCTGCCATAGGTAACGGTAGCCACCTGCCACAGGTAACGGTAGCCACCTGCCTCAGGTAACGGTAGCCACCTGCCACAGGTAACGGTAGCCACCTGCCACAGGTAACGGTAGCCACCTGCCACAGGTAACGGTAACCCAACCTGACCCTGGCAACCACTGTGTCGCACAGTCTAGTGGACGTTTTGTGCTGTCCATAGATATAGGTTTCAAATCTGAACAAATCATAGCTTTTTATACTAGTACTTTCAGGTCGTTGGGAGTCAGTAAGTTCTTTCCTATCAGACCTGAGTGTTTGGACCAATACAGTTTTGACAGCTGAGATGGGGATACCTAGATCTAATTCAACTTCAAACTTGTTACACGCTAATTTGGCTGCAATGTCTGTCTCATTATGATGGGTTATATTTATGTGTGAAGGTATCCATACAAAGGAGATTCGAGACCCTTTACTCTGTGCATCAATTAGGTCATTTATAATTGGGAGTATGAGGTTCTTGCTGTCGATCTTCCAGGAGAAGTTTTCGATTGCTTGAAGAGCAGACTTTGAATCACAAAATATTATTCCTCCTCCAATGGTTTTTAATGTACTGGTAGCTAGGTGTAATGCTGCTAGTTCTGCTTGTGTCGAGGTCAGCCAGTTGTTTAACCTGATACTGACAGTCTTTGTGCAAATATTATTTCTATAAAACCTACATGC